TACCTAAAAAAGGATACATACATATGGAAGATATCAATACTAGTATTTCTAGTATGAAAGGTGTTTTAATCAAAGCGTTCGCAAAAGTTATCAAGGAATTGTGGTCAGAAGATTCATCTGATAGAGTAATCAACACAGTCTACTTCAAAAATCAGATTCAAAGATTTGCCCCTCGATTCATGTGTTCTGCCCATCAAGACGCCCACGAAATCCTTCGATATCTTTTAGAAGGTTTACATGAGGATCTCAACAGAATTACTGAGAAACCTGAACCGATCTTAACTGAGATTGACGAAAAATTGAGCGATAACGGAAAAGCACAAGAGTCCTGGCAGAGATATTTGAATATGAACAATTCCAAGATTGTAGACTATTTCGTTGGTCAATTAAAATCCACTATGAAGTGCACACACTGTGGACACTCATCAGTAACCTTTGATCCTTTCTGGGATTTGTCTCTTACCATGCCACAAAGAACTGGCCAATTGAGTTTGTCACATTGCTTGGATTCTTTCACAAGAGAGGAAACTCTGGATGGAGATGAAAAACCAATGTGTTCGAGGTGCAAACAAAAGAGAAAATGTACAAAGTCATAATCAATCTATAAGTTTCCTCGTATTTCAGTAATTCATTTGAAAAGATTCTCTCCAACGGAAAGATTCAGAGGCAAATTGAATGTTTTCTTTGTTTTTTCTTCAGATGGCTTAGATATGAGCAGTTATGCAGCAGACAATGTGGCTCCTTGTCGTTATGATCTATATGTACTTTCAAATCACAGTGGGACTACTTACAACGGACATTACCACAGCATATTGCAGACAGCCATATAGTGGCACGTGGCATGAATACAACGATTCACACGTGTTCCCAATTTCGCCAAAATCACTTGTGAGCGATGAGGCATATGTCCTTTTTTATGAACAGGAGGGAACGAAGCGGCACCTTTGATGTGATTTTTTTTATAATCTTAGTTCTCTGAATTGATTTGTATTTCATGATTGTTCCAAATTTCATAATTTATTGTAATATTAAATTGTAATTGATTTTATATATTAAAAAAATCCAACTATAACCAGGGTAGATTTCCTTCTCTCGTTCGACGAGATGTTTTTGCTCAGGCCGTTCAGTAAGTTGAAGAGTGGTTGACATGTGATCAGGGCTTGCAAAATAGAGTTGATGTAGTAGCAATTGGCATTTTTTGCGCATATATTTCAAATCTGTTAACACGTTTCAAGACAGTGGAAGTTCAAAGCTTTAACAGTTACCAAAAAACATTGTTAGTCATATTCAAACGAAGAGGTAAAGTTTATGCAATTCAAAGACTACTTATGCTTAAAATTTTATTTTGTTGTAGTCATAACGCGGACAGAGTTTGATCATGACGATGAAAATCTGCTATTTTATTATTTAGGTATGGTGTTTCCATACATTTCCGCGAAATACAGAATATACCCTTAAAAAATTAAAGTTTCTATACATATATCCTGACTCCTGTTCCACAGTATTTTTCATCATGTATCTACAGGATGTTCCAAATTAAGTCGGCACCATTGCTAACTCCGTTATTATTGATGCTACAAATTCGGCTAAATAGGCAAATTAGTAGAATTTTTAATGGCCTTCTCGACGCCGAAAACAAAAAAAATTACAGTCGCGTTTTCAAAATATTTCATAAAATGATATTTTTTCAATGGAACACCCTATATTTCATCATACATTTCGATTCGTAGAAACATTCTCAACAACAAGGCTCATATCAACTTTCTTCCTAAAGTTGAAAATGAGGGATTTATGTGGAAATATTTCTCTCTTTCACTATTCGGCCATCAAGTCTATTATTCATAGTTTCAATATATTTTTTCAGTTCATCTACATTATTATGTTTAATTTTGTGCCCCTCATCTTTCATAAATTACCAAAAATAAAAATCTTGAGGTGTCATGTCTGGTGAACGAGGAGGCCACTTACTAGGATCATTTGTAGCAATCCATCTGTTTCCAAAACAGTCTCGCAACATTCTTTTTACGCCACTGAAATGATGTGCTGGTGCTCCATCTTACTGAAAATAGATCATCTGACGAGCCTCCAGATCATCTAAATAGACCATTCCAAACATTAATACTAAATCGTCTTTGCAGATTGTGGGGATGGACTAGAAATGGAATATGCCTGTACAAAAACGGCTTCAATTATAGCCGACATATTTCGATTCACAAAATAAATCACGAATCGAAATGCATTTAAAAATATGTCATTTTATGAAATATTTCGAAAACACGACTGTCAGTTTTTTTGTTTTCGGCGTCGAGAAGGCCAGTAACAATGCTATTAGTTTACCTATTCAACCGAATTCTTAGCATCAATAATAACGTAGTTGGCAATGGTGCTGACTTAACTTGGAACACCCTGTATATCTGCCTCACTAAAAAATATCTGATTACTTTTCACAGCTGCCTGTTCACATGTATCAACGCATACTTCCCATTGTGAGGAAGATTTCAAAGAGGCGCTTGATCTGGGTCGAATTAATTTTCGATCAAGAAGCGTTCCTTGGGGAAGGATAAACTGGCAAAAGGAAATAAAACTGTGAAGTATCATCGAGAACTCGTGAAGAAATTGGATGGTAAAATAAATCGAAATAGGGGAATATACGAAGAAGTAAAGACACCGTGAAAGTTGTCGATGAAGAGATTTCGGTGACTTATCACCGTATGAGAAGAATCTTGAAGCCTGAGCCGTATAACATCTCAAAACAAATGTCTTTCGGATGACAGTCATGAACACATAATGTATGAGATATTTCATGAATACATAATTTGTAGGTTTTCTCATGAAATGACAAAATATTTCGCCTTTTTTGCATTCGTGAAATAAAATCTTCAATGTGTACTTAAAATAACGTCATTTCGGATTGGTAGTAACGTCAATCTTCAAATATTTGTTTATTTTTTGTCTGTAACAATACAAAAATAAACATGACCGGTGGAACCTCTGATGTAGAATAAATCTAAAACAAGCACTGTTTTCAAACACCAGAACTGTAAAACTCTTTGACGCGCGTTTCACAAACCAAATTGGCGACAAGAGTCTTCCAGTTCTGGTGTTTTTGGAACCATTGTTCTTTCGTAAATAAACATATTTCTTATGTTTTCAATTCATCAATAAGATTGTTATTGGGTAATAAACCAATTATTTCATCAGCTCAAAGAAAATGATGTCATAATATGCGAGCTATTTATGATGTCCAATGCTTCATCAAATATTTCAATCCCGAAAAAATGTATACCGACAATAAGAATTCCACAAGAAGCCTCGAGTCTGGTTGAGATACGTTGACGACACCTTCATAGTATGGAACTGTGGGAATACAGAATTAGATACCTTTCTGAAGCACATCAGCAGCGTAAAACCTTCCATCATCTTCATGAATGAGAAAGAAGTCCACAACTAAGTAGGAAATATATGTATATCGAAAACCCACTCACACAGGACAGTATCTCTATCACGAATCTAACCACCATCAATATACCAAAAAAGGAATCATCAAGACTTTAGTGGATGGTGCTGTAATACGAAGGAAGGTCTCGAGAAGAAACTAGGCATCATCAAAAAAGATCTTCAACGGAATGGTTACTCCAAAGTGAAGATGGAAAAGACGGAAGATGGAAAAGACAGCAAGAGACTCACAAGGAATAGAAACCGTCACAACCAGTGCTTGCCCTTCTCTACCTCAGAGGCTTGTCGAAAAGGATGATAGGAATTGGGTCCAAGTACACCTGCTTCAGATCCGGAAACACCATCCGTAGCAGCATCACAAAAACCAGGCCACCAAACGCGGTCTGCGATTCCAAGAATTGCATTTACCAGATACCCTGTGAGTGCGACAAATCCTATAGAAAGTCCGCATTGCCAAGCACAAAGAAACATACATAGGAGAGAAACCAGCAAATCCGGAATATCAGAGGATGTTTGGTCTCATAAACATAACATCAAGTAGTCCCAAGCTGAGATCATCCACTGGGAGGAACACTGGTGTAAGGGGAAGTTCAAAGAAGCTGCATATATGTTGTCTAACGATGCATACAGCCCAGCTAGCAGAGATATGTAACATATGGAAACCTGTAATCATGTGGAAAAACGGTCAACTCCCGCTGAAACGGTGAAGTAGAGAGAGAGCGAAGAGGGGATAGGTGAAAACCATTGAATGACCTATAACTAGTCATCTCTCGGAGGAATAGTCCAGTCATCACCCGAAGATGATTGTGGATAGTAACAATCGAAACGTCGTAAAGTAACTTGGTTTGAAATCTTTTTCAATTTTTTAATAGTTCAATGTTTTGTTTCTTTTCATTTCTTTTAACTCCATGGTCGTTTTTATCATTTATCTTGATTATTTTATTCGTTTTATTGTAATTTCATTTCACGTTTTATTGCTCAATATAATTGATTTTTTACCTATTCAAATTGATTTAATTTGTTCTTTGATAGATTTAAAATCACCGAATTGGTAAAATTCATCATGAAACATACCTCTGTTCTGTCTGTTTAAAATCTGTTTTTCCGTTAATCAGCTGTCGCCCCCATACGAACGACAACTCTCAGAAGTTGAGAAACTTGTGCGAGCTAAGGACTAACGAGGTCTTACCTTTCAACGTGTGATTCCTAACACGGTTGCAGAATCATCCCAGCTTCAACCAGATAAATTCTCTTGAGAAAAATATCTGTTCGAGGCAGGAATCGAACCCACGGTCTTCCGATCGTGAGTCGGGCGCACTACCACCGCGGCCAATTCCACAACATATAAGATAACAACATATATAAGATAAAAAACGTCATTAAGATGGCTTTCATATTACATCTCATTACGAATGTAATTATGACCGATATTTTGCATACATACTCATAGCTTGAGAGATCATTGGGTAAAGGAATATTTTATCAGTACTCTGGTAAAAACAAAACTTTGTGTGTTGTCGAATTGAGATTCCTTTTTGTTACAGATTACATCGCCAAATATGGAAGAATGAGTGAAGATCAATCCAGGTCAAAATTTTGGCAAATTTTGTCCGCTGTAGAATACTGTCATAATCGTAATATAGTACACAGAGACTTAAAGGTAAGATTTATAATCTCTTCAATATAGAAACGAAAGTGGAAGAGCAGAAGTCTCCTGGTTTTTAGCGAGAACAGTGAATGTCACATTTTAATTTGTACCCTTATCCACGATCATTTAAATTTATTATTTATATCCATACTTGAGTGTTACTGACGCAACAAGATGATAAAATACGGAAAGGAATGTTTTTTTCTTCTATAGGTACTTTCACGGATATTGTTGACTCGACCCACTTGATTCTCCCGAAGGCGGTGTGAGTTAGAAGTACGCGGAAAACTACAGATGGATATCGCTGCGAAGTTTTCCTCATTCTTATGGAACAAACTTTTCTAAATCGGAACTTATGCATCTCTATAAAAAAATCCTCTTTCTCGTTATACTCATTGAAGAACAGACTTATAATAAAGATTTTTGTGCCGTTGAAATACTTGAGACAAGAAAACAAAACAACAATCTCTGTGACGCAAAACGCAATGAGGAAACAAAACATTCAACGAAATATTTTGTATTTATTGGTGCTATAGAACATTGTTTAAACAAGTCATAGTGATTAGGGATATTGTTCTAAAGATAATACAATTTTAACTACAGGCAATAAAACAATTATGAACCGACAAACTTGAAATGCTGATGATGATGCAACTTGTTCTTTTTTCATCGTATCCTTATTTTTGACTTTACGATCAATCCCGATTCTTTTCTCATGCTCAACTTTTTCAAGAACTCTGTGAGTTTTTTTAACTGGCAACTTCTCATTGACAGATTTGAAAATAGCTGAAATCCGAATAACTGTGTGTTCACTCAAATTTGAAAGTATACACTACAAACGGAAACTATCTACATAGTCGTATATTTTTCAAAAGTGGCATCAAGCGTTTCCATTGCTCATAGTTGGAACGTAGGTGTGTCGAAAAAGCAGTTGAGTGAATCTATCATATTCTAGTTTTTCGACTTCAAGTTCAAGAGTTCTCCGACATAACCTCTGCTAGAATTTATTTTCTGCCAAAACGAGACTTTAGACCACCTTTGGTATTTCTCTGCATTAGAGGGTCAACCTTTAGGATAACAATAATAATAATAATACGTCTTCTGGTATCTGTAAAGTAGGGAAGGTGAGTGTAGATCCACAGCACTTAGGCCACATGTGATCCATTGTACATCCTCCCGAGAAGTTATCCTCCTAGGTCATCGTCCATCCTGTCCTTTCCAGGAAGGTGGACGGGTCACTAGGAGACATCTCCTTTATATTGGCAGGGGTAGGCCAAGATTCGCCGAACACACACTCTCTTTGGCTACCTTGAGGTGTCTCACGGTGGCCTCCGCGAAGGTTTTGGAAGGTGCAGCGACATTACTGTCGTTGCGTGGCATTTTCAACCTTCTTGGGGTTCCCTCCGTGGAGGTGCACAAGTGAGGAAGCTTTCCTGCAGGAGCAGCCGGTTCCTTGCCTTTATTTTTGTCTTGGCGCCGCAAATGCTCTTACGCCTTGGCCTTTGTATTACATCACGAGGAGATATGCTATGTCCAGCCTCATTCCAAGCGGTAGATTGGGGGTGGAAATTTTTGTTCATTCCGAGCCACTGCCTCAGACTGGGGTAAGCACTTCTGTCCAGCCTCGGGATTAGTTTTTGTTGTTCCTGTTTTTGTGTTTGTTTCCTTCATTAATGTTCCCACGAGTAGTAAGGGAAGAGTTGGTCACCTCTGACAGAGCTCCGCATTACCAGAGGTAAGCTGATTACAATGAGGTTTGGCTCACCCTGCGGCCATTTAGCTGTCGGCACGATTCCTTACACCTTAGCTTGGGTAGGCTGGTCCACGGTGGCATATTTTGCAAAGACTTTTGGGGAGTTTAAGTACATCTCACCCTACTTATTTCTGCCACTGACCAGGAGTCCGGCGACCCCATCCGTAAGGCCATATTGCCTTCCCGGACAGGGCCTCCAGTCCTCTGGTCGTTCCTCTATCTTCCACCTAGGGAATAATACGTCTTGATTCACCATAAAAAGTTCAATTAAAACAGACGAAAAGAAGAAAAAACGACATTCAGTATAACGGTGAACAGGCGAAATAGCTGCCAAGGCTGGTTTTCAGTTCAACCTGGAAATAGCAATAATTGAACAATAACAAAAAAAAGTCGAGTTAACAGTGATACTGTGATGACAAGATCAAGAAATTATTTAATGTAACCGCTGCGGAAAATTCTTTTTTGTATTGCCAAGGTCGGGGACGGACAAGAGACTAGACAGTTAAGTAGGTATTTTTTTTTTAAGTTTTCCATTATATAAGATCAAAACTCACATTTTTGAGTGCATTATACGAGAAGCAGCGGGTGAAGATGGAAGTTTTGTGTTTGGGGATGACTAAAACTGAACGGTTCCATGTGAAACTATTAATCGTTGAGAATGTTCTAAGTTAGTAACTAAGTTGACGAGATATCAAAACTTTATGAGTGTTGGTGAGTAGATGCAGTGTTTCAAGTTTCTCAACTGTCGAAGAAGATCAGATGCAGATGAATAGATGTAGAATCACGAGGCGGAAAAGAGAAATATAAGTGCGTGTCATCTGCATATTGATGCATATTGCATTTTTTTACAGACAGATAAAAATCACAGATATACAAGTTAAAAAGCAAGGGCCCACGGATAGATTCTTGTGGCACCTCCTTTGATACCATCCACAACAACTCTTTGAGCACGATTCTTCAGATAGTTTCCTAAGAGTGACACTGATTTCCAAGAAAAATCAAAGTAGACAAGTTCGTCACACAATATCTCGCGATCAAGATTGTCAGAGGCTTTGTTAAAAGCCAGAAGTACTAACCAGGTCAAATTCACATCGTCTACAGGTTCATTAATATCGTCGGAAATAGACAGAAGAGTCGTTGAGGTACTATGAACATTACAAATCTTGTTGGATTACACTTCTCCATCTTTATACGAAAAGTTGTGGGAAAACTCCCAAGGAAGGAAGAAACCAATGTTTAGATGAAGAAGTGAATGCCAAAAATGTTTTCAACCCAAAAATGAATCTCTCCGAAAAATATACCCCTTTCAATTTGAGTATATTATAAACATCTCAGAACAATCTACTTTTCTGCAATTTCTCCTTTTCTTCCCTAGTCATATCGCACTCGCCAAAATAAATACAAACAACAGCCACTTTTTTTTGGTACCTCTAAACAGGGTCGGATTTGGAAGTCTGGAGGCCCTGGTGCAACGAAGGAGTGGGGGCCTCTAATTATTAATGAATGAGAAGTCGTTGATGATTTCACTGAAATCTAGCTGAACCATCAAAATTTTAATATTTTTTTATATTTCTTTATTGTGTTGGCCCCTCTCCTGTGGATGGCCCGGGACAGTAGCCCCACCTGCCTTCACATGAATTCATTACAACAATCAATTGTTTGAATTTAAACAATGAAAATATTTATAATGGGCTTGTTTCATGATTTTTGGTTTATAGTTCACTTGATAGAAATTTTGAATTGAAAAAAAGTGCAGTTTGTTTCATCTCTCTAAATACCGTAGTTTTCCCGTAATTAATTATTAAAAATTGAATGTGGTAGGGTGGTGACGTCACGACCCTATTCCCGCTTCTTGTCGATTGACCAATAGAAATAATCAACATTGCCAACAACAAAAAAACAGATTTTTTTAAAACAGATTTTATAATTATCAATTTAATTATGGAAGTGTATATGAACCCGTTAACGTTTCAATTATTGAAAAATTCTCCACATTGAATAAAATGTACAGGATAAATCATGTTTGGAAACAAGTTTTATATCTAAAATCAGTACACAAAGTCAATAGATCACAAAATATTTACCTAAACAATGATTTATGCATTATTCAATAATATACAGTTATGAAAATCAAAAAATATAACAAACTGGATTGAAGAATCATTTCAAATATTCAATTTTTTCTATAATCCTCAATCTGTACAACTGCAATTTATTACAAAAAAAAACATTCCTACATACATACCTCTTTCTAATATAGCTACTAAATTTAAGCGTTATAGGCTCGCTTGGGTAATCTGTTGAATCCTCCAAAACTTGAGAGGAAGGTTGAATGTGGTTAAGTATAGACTGAATTGATTGTACTCGACCTGATCTTCAATTAGATAATTGTAACAGTTGTATTCAACTGAGTTGACAACAATAACAACAAAAATGGCGTCTGTCAAATTGGATCATCAGATCTGTGATTGGATATTAAAAACCAATACACTTGGTAACTCCGCTCTAGACACGTTCAATTTTATTGGTCAACAGACACGCGGCCAATTTAAATTCTTGCTTTTCCAATTATTCTTTTTTCTGCAAATATAGAGAGATTTTGCGACCGATTAGGCTTGATAAGTGTAATATACCCCTAACTCCATCAGTCTATAAACAAACCAGCATCATTTTCCATAGCATGAAACAAGCCCATTGGCAGAATGATCTTGTACAACCATAATTTTGTTTTTGAAGTATGAACCAATACATCTTTTATATGTATATGTATATAGAAGTAATTCAGGCTACTAACAAATATCCAGTGTCTGCATACAATTTCTAGACAAGTTAAATTCGCTTTTGTCTTCCATCTGCAAATTTGCCTGGGGTCGTCTGAGTATACCGAAAGCGAATATTTGAATTCGAATATAATTAGAAAACTTCGGTGATGTTTTGTAATTGAAATGAAGAGCGATACAGTTCAATTATTTCAAAGTGAAATCTGCCCTTGCGATAAGCTGATTATACATCTGCTCTATATCAAAGAAATTCAAGTATTTCGCGGAGTCACAAATATAATTTACGGGATACCCAATCCCATTCATTTTATTTGACAGAAAAACCTTTAGCAATTACGGCTTTCAGGTATCTTCAGGAATTACATTTTGTGAGGGACATTTGTAGATACAATTCTGATAGTTTCCAATGGCAACTAATGCCAACTGGAATATATTTTGAAAGCAATTTAAAATCGTCCTCAAATTACTGCTGAAGAGAC